TCTATTTAACTTCACATGGCTGAAAACAGAGAATAAACCAAATGGCGCACCTGAAGAGGACACAGTATGGAAAAGTTGATTTAGATTATGTGCTTGGAATTGGAGGCTTTGATTTGGAAAGGTTATATATCTCCTCTCTATGTATCAAGGTTTAAGGTTTTATCATACTTAGGTCAATCTTGTTAGCTCAGGGTCTTCAAACACTCAACTTCATTCAATTGTGCAATTTTTTCTTAATGGGTTACACACCCTCACTGCCGTACTTGTTATCTGGTTTTTTTACTCTGTATTCTTGCTTCCCCCAATGCAGAATTGAAAGTGACATTGACATGGAAAGATCCAAGAAAGATCATGACCACCATCATGACCATGAGCATGACCACCATCATGACCATGATCACGATCATCATCATTCACACGGTAATTAGCCCAGCTTGTAGCAGTCTGACAAAAAAAAAAGGGAAACTATGTTTTAGATTTCTTTTCATTTTCATGTTTTTATAGTTTTAGTCAGCGCGATAGCAGGACAATTATATTTTACTGGGTTAGACTTCATAATGGATTTTTGGTGTGCTATTGTTGTGAAAATATTATTGCTCACATGAGCATTTTCAACTTATTATTGTTTGCAGAACATCATACTCATAGCCATACTCATGATCCTGGTGTTTCTTCTGTAAGCATCGTTTGTGATGGCTTCCTGGATCTTGAGAAGGTAAGGCATATTTACCCATTTTCTTGCCGTTATTGATGGCTAATTGGCTAGTAATGATGTATACTATGTTGTGATTGGACATTATTATAATATGGGGTTCCATCTGAGAAGCTCAACAAGATAGGAGTAGTCTAGGATCTAACATTTAGGTATAATATTTCAACACGCCCAGTTCAAACCCGGTAGGACAACTTGAGGGCTGATAAATGGCCATATCAAGCTCAAACGGGTATCCTATATCATGGGTGCAAAAAATAATCAAACCACTACAAGACTTATCTCTCTAATACCATAAAAGTAAAATAATCTGCCTAAGTGAATGATTTTATTCATTAATGTCACGGTTATGCATACACAATTACACATAAATCAAGCCAAGTTCCCTAACTAAATATGCAGATCAGTTAACAACGAGATAAATAAACTCTATCTGATTTACAGCTCAATTAACTTACTAGCTATACACTACTCCGTATATAATATCTATCTAATTTATACCTCATTAATAACTCACTAGCTATAGGATATATACCTTTAAAATATTTATCTAATTTACACTTCATCAATAGCAGTATTCATGACATTTCATTTATCAGGCCAACGCTTGGCTGGGAACATTATTGATGGAAAGGAGTGAAGATATATATCGGATGAAAGGTCTTTTATGTGTCCAGGGAATGGATGAAAGATTCGTCTTTCAGGTTATTGGATTTCTTCTTTTTAGCTAATATTTCATGGCTTACCTCTAAATAATTTTTATTGAATTTCTTCCTTTTAGTTTTTTTTTTCAAATATAAACCTGTGCTGGCAAAACTCTAGAAATATATTAGGAGCCTGTTTTTGGGACTGAATCTGGAAATATGAAAAGTTCCAGCTTTGGCCGGCCACTGTTTACCCTCACAGAATGGTGAACTACACACTACATTGATTTTTTTATGTATCATTCACTGCATATGGACATATGACAGGGAGTACACGACATATTCCAAGGCTCCCCAGACAGGCCATGGCTTCCTGATGAACCTAGGACAAACAAGATTGTTTTTATTGGAAAGAACTTGGATGAGAAAGAGCTAGAGAAGGGTTTCAAGGCGTGCCTGCTATAATGTACATCCGTCCCCCATTAACCATTCCCAGGAAGTCTAATGAAAAGTGAAGTGGCTTTAATTACCCATTTACTATATTTGACAGATTTTTTTTGGAACATATCGATAAATTATATATTTGGTGCATCTTTTTGCATTAACCCCATTAATGTATATTTGGTGTTTTCCCCTTTTCCTCCTACATCAAGCTGCTTAAAGAATGCGTTCAACGTCCTAAAAGTTCATGTGCTTAAAATTCATTTGCGTTGCCCTCGAAGGCTGACAACGTTTGTTCATCAAGCCAGTGTGATATGTTAAGGAATTTTTTTTAGCAGTGTATTTCAGAATTACATAAAGGGATGCAAAATCCGAATTTCTAATTGTCTATACTACAAAGATATTTATTGCGCTTCTTCGCAGGATGTTTGTCACATTAGAGCATCTCCAATGGTAAAACGTTAATGGTGCATACGTGGCATGGAAAATAACCAATTAAAAAACAATAAATACAATATTTCTCTGCTTATTTGAAGGATCTTATAACATTTTGGTAAGTTTTTCTTCACAATGTCAAGCACAATGTCAAGATGTAAACATTGTGATTGACATTGCAGACAAAAACTTACCATAAACATATAAGACCGTAGAAAGAAGGAGAGAGATATTGTATTTATTGTTTTTTAATTGGTTATTTCACATGCCACGTATGCACCGTTAACATTTTAGCATTGGAGATGCTCTTAATTAAAGAATGAGGTTCAAAATTTTCTAAATTTTATGAATATAGCAACAATCAAATAATACTGCTTTTCCATCTTTTGTGTCATTTTCTTTGTACCAATCTTTAATACTCCAACTTACTTGCCTCATTTCTTTTGTTGGGGTTTGTTTTTTGTCTTTTTTAAATAGCCCCAAGGAATAATAGTAACTCTGATTTATGATGAATAGTAACCTTGATTTTCAAAAGGTTCTGAAAATTAAAAGAAATTTACCGGTGGGTGTGCGGTGTGCCACGACAAGGTGTGCATCTTTAATTTATTTCCAGCCATCGTTACCACTTGAAAAGTGATATTAACGAATTCTTTGTTAAAAATAATCTAAAGGACGATGATTTGTAGATTGTCTTGATGAGATGCACTTTTCAATATTTTTCTTTTAATTTTTCGGACACTTTTGAAAATTAAAGTTATTATTCATTCTCTTAGCGTTAGTCGCCGAACCCCTCTGGTGATAATGGAATAAAACACATGGCCTACCTTAATAATAAATAAAACACATCTCCCTATTTAAAATGGATTTGTCCACAAACACATTTTCTCTACTTTTCCCGATATACTTCATTTGACTTTGAGTTGTAATTAGATGAAGTATATCCTTTCATTCATCTATCATAAATGACATAACTATATACATTTGAATGTTTGATTATAACACATTTATTATGAAATTGTTTAGTTTCTCCCTCAAGATAGAGTTTCTTAAGTGCATTATGAAAGAGACACAAAAGTCAATAAAGAGCGAAAATAGAAATCAAAAGGAACAGTTGGAGAGGATCTCAAGCAATGGGAAGAATTATTTCAGATTTAATGGAGTCGTAATTTCGAATATAATTTATTATAATTTTAAAATATAACTTACTATTATACTCCATAATTATTAGAACTTCCAATCTAATATAACACACACAAAACAAAATTTGAAAACTTTGTTATTATATAGATATTAAGTATGAATTTTCCTTATTAAATAAACAGATGTCCTTAATATGTACGTTAAGTTGCGTAAATATGAATTATACTTTTCTATAAATAATTTTTTAAAAGTTTACTTAATGTGTTTCATTTCAATTTAAATAATTTTATAATATGTTTAATTATAAATGCAATAACATACATCTTTGAACATAACATAATGAGTTGCTTAATAACTAAAGTATTTTTTAATAACGAATCTTAGGCAAAAGTGTTACGGAGTATTCCTTATGAGACAGTTTACTATCTCCGTCAAAATAGTCTTTCTCGATTGTATTACCAAGAGATACTAAAATGAGGAAGGAGTGTGTTAAGAATAGCCATTGAAAGTTTTGAATATGAATAATAAATCTCTATACGTAAAGTTTTGAAAGTAAAGTTAATATATACAATTTCGAGGTCAGCTTATTTAAATTCTTTCATTTATCTATAATAGCTTTTAAAGTTTGGATATAAAATTATTTCTTTGATAAAAGTTCAGTATTTATTCTTTTAACAAGGAATCATAGTAAAAAATAACACTTCTTATGACATAGTCTAGTTTCTCCCTCAATATAGTGTTTCTGTTTTGCATCACGAAAGCCGAAAGAGCTACAGAAGCAAAAAAAGAGTGCAAAAAATAGAGCAAACAGGATTTCTTGTCGCTTTCTGTAGGGTTCTGTAAGCCAGATGGTCATTTGGTTGAGTTTGCCAAGTATCAGTTGGTAAGAACACTAAGATGATGATGTGCTTGAATTTCAATTCCTCCATCTTGGTTGGGAAAGTTCCATATTAAAAATGTATGTTGTTATGGGTCACCACTCACCACTCTATCTGGTATCCTGAATCTTCAATTGATATATCTTCAAATGAATTTTTTGCACTTGGCACAGGGTACACTAATATGGGTTTCAGCTTTGATCCATTTTGCTAAGGGACACTATAGTCACAATGTGTAGAAATTCCAACCTCCTGAAGACTTCCTTCTCAACCCAAGTGAATCCAACTCCATCCAGTGACTTATTTCTCCGGCAACCTAATGCCCCGTGATGACCCAGTAAACCTCTAGTGACCCCCCAACTACCAATTTTTTTCAAATGCAGCCAGGGAAATAGCACCGGGTCAGTAACACTAACACTCCCGAGCAGTGATACCGGCGGTCACTCGGTCAGTGGCACAACCAACCTCCACCCTTTACCCCTAGAATTTGCCCACTGCCATGTAACCCTAATCCTAGCCATTCCACCATCATCTTCAAACTCAACAGGGGTGGCAGCAAATACCACTATAAGCAGGGAGATAATTTTAGAAATTGGTTGCATGTCTTAAAACTAGAGTGTTAATGATAACACATGTGTTAGGGAATCATGGTAATAGTCTAAAACTTGAACAGATTTCGAACTAAAAATTACTACATTATGTGTTCTTCAGCTATGACTCAAAAAAGGTCAAATCAAAACAGGAAAAGAGGTTATAGCGTTCTGTTTCATTGATGTATAACGCAAATACAACACCATTGGCAAATAATAACTAGCATCTTCTTTCTTGGAGCACGATGACTATTGAAAACAACGGGGTGGAGCTCATAGCTGGGAAATGAGCGGCCAACGAAATTCAAAAAATCAATAGGAAAACTAGAATATGATCACAAGAGAAGCTCAAACCTTCCATGACAAATTGACAAACGAGCAGTTTTTCATAGTGATCACAAAAAACATTACCCAGTAGTATCTAAGCTTATAGCCCAGTCAATATGTCATAGCAACTCACGAGCCACTTCAGAATTCAATGGACGCAATCTAAGACAATTAACCCTTCCACTTAAATCGAGTGGTCTTTGAAACACATAAAACAAATTATATAGAGGATGAACAAATAGACAATTCAGAACTAAAAAACAGTCAATTTTAACCAGTTCAGTAAGGCATCAAACGAAACAAAACGGGAAAAAGACATAAACTTATGCTGTGAGGACGACGGCACCACCGGCCTCTTTAATCTTCCTCTCAGCAATCTTAGAGATGAGCTTCGCCTTCACCACAATGGGCTGGGATGGCGGCAAGACACCCTTACCTAAGACCTTAAAGTAGCCAAACTGGGTGACGTCGATAAGGGGAGCGGAACCCTTGCTCTTGGCTGCCTGTTCCTTCGCTTCCGGCGGGAGAAGGGACCAGATCTTGTCAATGTTCACCGTGGGACAGTAAAACTTGTTCCTGAGCTTATGGAAATAGCGCATACCGACCTTCCCGAAATACCCAGGGTGATACTTGTCGAAGAGGATTCTGTGGTGATGCATACCTCCGGCGTTACCGCGACCGCTGGGATGCTTCCGGTGCTTACCTATCCGCCCGTGACCGGCACTGACGTGGCCGCGCTTCTTCCGATTCTTCTTCAAGCCGGTCGTCATTTCCGCGTCCGGGAAGAAAGCGGCGGAGGATATTGATGATTTTGCGTATTAGGGTTTTAGGAATTTATTAACGAACCTCCTTCGCGCAGCGTACCATTTCCCCCCCTGGACATATTTGTCCTCCCAATTTTGAAGTGGCTCACTTGTACAAAGCACGGGTGGGCAAAAATCCTGGTCCCGTTGTTCCAAATCGAGAAATTTCGATACCGTTCTGAAACTATCCCGATCCGTATAGGATGCAATTTTTTCACCCTGAACCGGTCCCGCACCGATATTAAACGGGACGAAACTGGGATATCTATAAAATATCATGTCCCGTCCTGGTGTCCCGTTTGAAATTAATATGTTATTTTAAATTTCTAATGATATGTAATAGTCAAACCAATTAAGATTTTCTAGTCCTTAGTCTTCGTAGTGTGATTTTATCTTATTCATGTCTCTCTTAGTCTCATTTCTTTTATTTCTTTTGATTAAATTTTGTTTACTTCTCATTCCAATAGTAATCCATAATATATTAGGGAAAAGGGACAAATAAGCCCTCGAACTAATCCAAAAAGTGCAAATCACCCATTTTATAGGAGACTCTGTCCGGCCGTCGTCATTTGGGGAGGTTCGCGGTGGAATTTTTGGATGAATTTTTTTGAGCATATTCTTCATTAAGTCTAGTTTACCCATACCGAATTTCAGATAAAAATTCAATCGGGAAGGCGGTCAACTGAATGAAGATGCTCAAAAAAATTCATAAAAAAATTTTACCGGGAACCGCCTAAATGGCGATGGCCTTATAGAACCTTCTATATAATGGGTGATTTGCACTTTTTTGGTTAGTTCGATGGCTTATTTGCCCCTTTTCTCTAATATATTATTACGTGTGAAATACTATTTATGATGGAATAACTACTACTCCAAATTATAGTGTTGTTATAGATTTAATATTTTCCGAAATAACTACTAGAATATATATAGTGTCTTTATAGATATGATATTTAATTTAATGTGGTATTGAAAAATTACAAGTGTACTACAAAGTATAAAAATATTTTGCGCTACCATTCTACTAGAGGAAACACAAGATTAGGGGGACTAAAAAAATTTACTAGACAAAATTAAAATAGTTAATTAAAGGTTTTACTTAACTTTTTGGGGAAGCTAAATTTGCTAAAAAAAGTTGCATCTTTATATTGATGTTATGCTTATTTTTATATCACATTTCACAAATGCATATTTTATGGGACATCCCGAACCGTCCCAGTTTTTCTCGAGTTCTCCCGGTCCTGTTTTAAATGGGACAACATTGGGATAAAGACTTATCCCGTACCGAACCGGGCCGTTGTTATAAGGTTTTTTTTTACAAGAATATTACTAAATAAAACATATTTATATAAATATAACTATTCATTACTACAATGTAGTGTTGTGGTAACTAAAGCTCAAAACTTGAACATGAATTACTATGATTTCATTACTACTTTAGTCACTAATCATACTTTTGTAAATCATCTTTATTTTGGTCATATTTATGTAATTATTTCTTGTTATAAAACCGGGACGGGATCGGGATAAGCCAAATCCCGGACCGTGCTCACCCCTACTAGAACGTAGCTCACCAAACTCGTGGCTAGTCATGGACTCGGCCGGGTGGCCCGACCCGGAACCGGCCCAGTACTGTGCTGAACCGGCCCGACCCGGTGGCCCCGCCAGTGACCGGTCTGGGTAGGCCCGGATCGGGGTGGGTCCCGGTGCGGGCTCGGGTCACCCAAAAACCGGCCCGGCCGGTTCGGGCCCGGTTCCGAGCTTTTTAATTTTTATTTTTTTTCAATTTTTTTATCTTTTTGGGTTGGGCTGGGTATTTTGGGCCATTTGGGGTGGTTTGGGGGGTTAATTAGAAAAAGGGGAAAAAAATTGACCCGAGGCCCGGCCCGGGACGACCCGGACCGGACCCGGTGGCTACACGGGCCGGTCCTGGGCCTCCTTCAAAAAACCCGAGGCCCGACCGGGCCTAGGCCCGGCCCGGGTCCATGACTACTCGTGGCCTCTTTTAAATTTACTCCGTATTAAACTCACTCCTTGTGTTTCTTTTTAAATTAAAATAGGGTTTTAAATTTCCTTAATTTTTGTTATAATTTTTTTTTTGAGGATTTTGTTTAACTTTTTTTTAAATGACTATTCTTAAAATATACTCAGAATCTTAATATAATTAGCATTACAAATTCTAACTACCATCACAAAAGCATCCATATTGGTAGTATACTTATAAATTACTCTCTCCTTATAAATGAATTTCTATCAAATTAATATGTATACTTCAAATTCCAATTATATCATCTTATAAATTAATAACTTTGTGATCATGTTTAAACGTGTATATGGTGTAATGGATATTTTCCAAAGGTGGAGGGCCCCATCTTTTAAAACTCGATCAACATCATGTTGATTTCGCACAAAAGCCATACATTTTATATATATATATATATATCAATGATTTCACATGTGAATGATATTTTGGATATTTTTAATTGGACTGATTTCGATTTAGATAGATTTAAACAAATCATCCAATACTAGACTTAAAGAATAGTAAAATAAAGGTAATGGAAAATAACACAACTTTTTATACTTTAGTGACTAAAGTTGTTAATTAAGTGATAATGACGATGTTGGAATATACATTATAGTGACTATAGTGGTATACTTGTATTGACTTAATTAAGTCACATTTTTATCCATAGTAATATTTAAGGAAAAACCTATTGAATAAGCATCTAATAAAAAATAGAACAACATCCAAGCTGTAGTATCGAAAATTTGTGGGGTCAATTAAGATGAATCAACACATAATTCCGGAGCCAAAAGGGACGAAACAAAGACAAGAAACCTAAAAAGGTAAGATATGATAAAACGATTAAAAAAATATATAACATAGATATCAAGGGCGGATCTATGTTGGGGCAGGGGTGGGCTCCAGTCTAGCCCAATTTATTTTTATTATTATAGGTATAGGTTTAATTTCCAGCCCACCTCAAAACTAATGTCTAGCCCAACCCAAGCCTACCAACTTTGTAACTCTATTTGATTATTAATTGAATTTTTTCAGTAGATAGTAAAATAGTTTTTATTTATTATTATAAATTTATAATGATTAAAGATAGAATTAAAGATTAGAAAATGATTTATTTATAATGCAATTAAAGAATAGAGAACGATGTATTTACTGTTTAGGCATGTAAGAATGGATTCAAAATCTCAAGTCAATTTTAAAATTGGGAATACTTATTAGTTTTATGGATTCAAACTATTTTTACTTATTAGTTTTATACTTTTATAGAAGTATTTTAATTCATATCAATAAATACTAAAATCTTTAATAATCAATAATAAAATTATAAATCACACTAAAAACGTTTAAATTTTAGATATGCTACATTTGTCTCATTTTATTTAGCCATCTTTGACTCGTTACTCAAAGATGGTAAACTTTTATCCATCATTTTAACTCATGTATTAATGTGAAACTTACTAAATTTATACTTTTATGATAAACTTTTTAACAAAGAACAATTCCATTTCATTTTCATATTATCAATTTTATTGTATAAATATCAATTTTATGATAAACTTTTATGATAAATATACAGTCATTCAGAGTTTAACTTCTTTGACCTCAAATTAGTCTTAATAAAAGTCGGAGGTAGTATATAGTTTATTTCTATAATTTATAAGTTATGAATATGCTCGAGTCTAGATCGAACTGAACATGACTATGCTCGAATTCAGCTTGAATATAATAACTATTCAAACTCAAAAAAATAACGGCCGTTTTTTTTTGTAAAAACAAACTGTTGAGTTTAATCCAACACGATATAGTAAATATATGTATGAACACTCAGTTTTTACGTGGAAACCCGAAAGGGAGAAAACCACGGGACTTTTTAGGTTAATGTCCAAGCCCTCTCTTTCTCATTAGGACTCTCCTCACCATTACATAGTACATTCTGAGCTCCCATTAATGGAGTCTTGTAAGTTATTCTAGAGGAAGAAGGAAGAAGGAAGGCCCCTTTTACATGGAGGCTAAGCTCCCTATTTATAGACAAAGGGGAAAGGGTGCTCTCCACCCTAATGGCCCAAACGGGCCAATATTGGGCCTAATGGGCCGAACTGGGCCTAGCTGCTCGGGCTCCGTACTACGTAAAGTCTTGGGCTCCTGAACAGTAATAGGCCGGGATAATATATCCCAACACAAGTCCCCCAGTTTCTTGAGTAGTGAGCGTGCGAATCTGCTCGAGAGAATATACTCTTGCCTGCGCTCTTCCTCTGTCTTGCTGGAAACTGTGTCTTCAAATAATCATAATATATGAGTGGGTGTCTGCACTCCTGAACGTAATCTGCCGGTGAGGCACCCCCCTTCTCGACGGGGTCGGGCGGAGGGTGCTCCTCCACGGGCACACTCCCCCTGAATGCATCAGGCGGGGGTAAGGACTCTGACTCGAGCTTTCCAACGGAGAAGCTTAGAGGTCCATGCATATATAAACCGACGTCGCGGTACTGTCAAAACATGATGCACGTGTGTATGTATGAATGTATGAGGTATGATGCATGAATGCATGAATGCATGTAATGTATGGGTGCAATGTATGAGAGAAAGAATGTGAGATGTGATAGGAAGCGGTGTCTCTCATCGATAAACCGGGCATGTCAGCGCCGAGAGGCAGACGTGCCGCATAAGACGGTCGTCGCCATCCTGGAGGGAATGTGCGATCCGAACGTGAAAGAGACACGATGGCGCTGAGGGGCCGATCATGCTGCATAAGACGTTCGTCGCCATCCTGGAGGGGATGGGCAGCCGAACGTGAGCTAGGTATGATGGCGCTGAGGGGCCGATCGTACTGCATAAGACGTTCGTCGCCATCCTGGAGGGGATGGGCAAGCCGAACGTGAGCTGGGTACGATGGCACTGAGGGGCCGGTCGTACTGTATAAGACGGTCGTCGCCATCCTGGAGGGGATGGGCGAGCCGAATTGTGAATCTGGACACGATGGCGCAGAGGGGCCGATCGTGATGCATAAAACGGTCGTCGCCATCTTGGGGGGGATGTGCGAGCCTGACCGT